TCAGCAGGGTAAAGAGTGGTAGTTAAGTAGGTATCACAGCAAAGGAGAGTGTAAAAGGAGGGATTTGGAAGAGAATAATGAAGCATCTCCAACTGCATGCCAGGGAGCAACTATGCTGGTGTCTATTTGAAAATTACAAATGGACAATGAAGTCTGCCCATTAGGGTTTGTATGGAGTCTTGGGTGACCACCTTTTCACTAAGCAGAAGCAGGACGCATGTCCCCCACACTGTCCCCTGGATGAGCCACTTGTGGCTCAGTCCTGCTCCCCAGCCAGGCCTCAGAGCTGCACATTCCTGCCCTGCCCTGGGCCCCACGTACTGCCCCAGCTGGGCAGCATCCCCTGCCCCAGCTGCCAACCCTGCTCCACTCCCTCACTGTGGGGGCTTCAATATGCCTCCCCCTCAGCCCCACCATAGACTTATCTGTAGGCAGCTAGAGGAGCTGCTGTTCACCATGGCCTGGGACTGTATTCCTGGCCACATGCATGTGTGCATACACACACATGCAAGTAGTGTCCCCTGCGTCCCACTGCCCCCAGCAGACCCCTGCAGGCACACACTGATTCTTGCCAACTGTCATTTTTTAATGGCCCAAACATCATTCAACATGTCTGTACAAAGATATTTGTGGCTGCCATCTATATCTGCATGCAGTTCAGCAGAAATTTCAGATTAACATCAGAAGTTGATATTAAGCCCCCTTTGGGATTTTTATACCTTGTATGACCATGCTGGGGCAGCACTATTGGGAAAACATTCCCTGCCTTTCCTCTCACTCAGTGCAGGCCAAATGGTGGAAAAGAAAGAGGGGTGTAGCTGCTGTTAGAGTGGTACTGAGCACACAGTAATAAGCATGTCCAAAAAAGTGTTGGGTACAAGCTGAACACTAAGTGCACTGTATGATGCTCTCTCAGCATCTGGCTCTTATGGAACAGGAAACAGGACAGAGCAGAGATTCCCTGCATGGCAACAGTGCATAGGGCAGTGGCTGGGCCAGCAGTGATGTCTTCAGCAACGCACATTTAAATGTGGCCTTTAATAAGCTAGGATAGCAAAAAGGAAGTTTCACATTATTTGTAGGGAGAGGCCTGAACTGAAAGGGCTCCTATAGACGTGCAGCGAGGCTGCTCTAACGTGCTGTAAAACCATGCATCAGAGCGAACTTGATTAATCAAGTCTGCTGGAGCACAGAAATTAACACACTCCAGCAGCCTCCAGCATCACGTGTATCAGTGTCCCTGTGCTGAAAAATGGTGGCAGGGAACTTTAAACTAAAACTGATTCAATGAGCTTTAGTTCAAAGTACGCTGCCTCCATTTTTCAGCGCAGGGACACTGATACACATGATGCTCAGGCACTTTTAATTAGCACGGCTCGCTAATTAACCTATACACACCCAAAAAGTTTGGGGTCTAGGTTGAGAACTCTGAAATCTGGTAGCGTTCAAACCTAACATATGTTGCTGTGACATACAAATCATGCTTTTCCAAAGTTACTGCTTTGAACCTTTGATTTTGATTCATAAGTATATTGTGGTGCAGGGAGAAAAGTATCAG